TTCATGAAGCTCCATCAGTGTTTCCATTATAAAAATTTCCACTGTTTTAAATCCTTGTGATGATTGAATGCATATGGTTGGAGTGAGCAAAGCAAGGCGGTGGAGACTTGAAAGATGGATGGGAAGAAGTGCCTCCTAATCAGTGGCTGGGTGGGATTGAATTCAGATGGAGAACTGCTGTTTGACTTTCTTTAAAGTATTTATAGGTCCAAACCAAAGCCCAATTAAAAGATTTGATTTTGTGGCCTTCTGGACTTGACCCTAAATTGTGAAACTGCAATAAAACTGTATGTTTCAAATGCTCAAGCATGTGTAGAGAATTGAGGACACAGTTCACTTTCACGTGTCTTCCTTTTTCCTCTCCCTTTCCTGCACCCCCTGCCTTCCTACCTCTTGATAGCAACTGAAAAGCTTTTGCACAACAGGCAGACTAGCAAACAGCAAACATAGAGTTGGTGTCGGTGGTAGGAATCTGAGCTGGATGACTCTGGCTTGCTTTGGGGAAGCTCCTAGAGAATCTCTGGTCCTCTGAAGTGGGCATGTCTCTTCCATGAGGCAGACTGCCTTCATCACATGGCACGCAGTGAGATACAGTGGGAAGTGAGAAGCTAAGCACGGGGGTGGTCAGCAGAGATGGTGGTCTTTGATCTGCAACGTCGAGGAGAGAAGGTTTTTGGTTTTGTTTTCAAAAAAAGGATGTGCTTTTTTGCTTGGTTTTTGTTGATTGGGTGGTTTTGGGTTTTTTTGGTTTTTTTGTTTTTTTCCCCTGTTACTCATGTTCATGTAGCAATAGTAAATGGCAAACTCGATGGAAAGTGAATACGAGTGATGTGGTCTTCCAAGGCAGTGTTTCTCAGGTACAGACCTAAAGATACTTTGCTTAAGAGAAGCCATCTTAATTGTCTTCGGATGTTATGGTTCCTCTCTGAGAAATTGAATAATAAATGTCCACAGCACAATCAAGGGAGGAGCCCTGCCAAAAGATAGCTTTAGAGCCTCTTTTGTGCTTAGTGTATAGCAAGAGGTGCTTTAACTGTGTGATGCCTCCTGCTTTATGATGTGCAGGCCTTAAATACCACCATAAACGTAGAGATGCTCTTGAAATGCAAAGTGAGGATCTCAAAGCTGCATTTGCTTAATAAGCAAGGTTGTTTCAAGAGGGGCTGATAGAAATGAATCAAATTCTGCATCACTGGTTGCTTAGGGCAATAATGATCTGTCTGGCTGCAGATGCACCTGGCTTGTCTCCTAGCATCAGAATAACAGGAGGAATTAGGTCAGCTGAGCTGGCACACTAGAGATCAACCAGACAGTGTGCTTCTGGTGGGGGGAATGAAAGATGCAGAATTTTAAGTCGTTAGAGTTCCTGTTTAGCAAAGCGTCTTGCATCTCCAGGAAGGGAGGGCCTCCCTGCTGGCTCGGTACGTGCTGGTGCCCTGGAGCGCAAGGCGCTCCCATCGCTGGTGCGATGGGAAATCCCACGAATCGCAGCGGAGGGCAAGGTGGTGTTGAGGCTGAGATGCAGCCCTGCCGGGCTGCTGCGTGGGTTTGGAGCACGTAGGTTGCATGTTTCCTATGCGCGTGTGCTGCTTAATGTCACTGTGCACGCAACTGGGCAGTTGGGCAACTTTCTCTTTGCAGGATTTTTCATTTGTGTTTGACTGATATTTTTTTTCGTCTAGTTGGCAGTTGTAGCCAGCCTGTTACATATGTTAAAACATACTCAGTTCTCTTTGTTTTTTAAATACTGCAGATTCAAGCCCATGTTACTCTGGCTTCTGGTAATCGGATATTTTTTCCCCCCCTCTTAAATTAAGATGGTTTTTATTTGAAAACCTACGCTTTTTTCCTTTAAACTCCTTGTTGTAACACCTTTGTGCTGTGATAATGTGTTTGTTTTCTTAAATCTGGTAAATGAAGTATGAAATAAATGGATGTAAAATAGAAGACTTGCAAAGGCCAGTCAGTCATGCAGCTGCCATAGAAAACCCTGCGGGGGTTGGATCTCTAACTTCCAGAGTTGCACCAAAAAAACCCCTCTCCTGCAGGATATCAGGTTGTGTTTGGGATATTCCATTAAAAAAACCAAGCCATTCCCAACTTTATTAGCAGAACTGCATTAATTGGTTCTAAAATCAAACTTCCAGATTGCGTGGCTTTGCTTGTATTTGAACATATCTCAGTAAGTGAATATGTCGGAGTGATGGTCGGAGGCCGTCTTGGGCTTAGCGACCATGAAATGGTAGAATTCTCAATTCTTGGTGAAGGAAGGGGGGAGGGGGGCAGCAAAACCGCAACCATGGACTTCCAGAGGGCGGACTCTGGCCTGTTCAGGACGCTGGTTGAGAGAGTCCCTTGGGAGACGGTCCTGAAGGGCAAAGGGGTCCAGGAAGGCTGGACGATCTTCAAGAAGGAAGTCTTAAAGGCGCAGGAGCAGGCTGTCCC